GGGAGCAACCGGGACACGACCAAACTATCTGGAAGATTGGGATTAAAGAGAATATTAGTCGGTGGAGAGCATAGTCTGAGGTCAGTGCAAAGCTGGTCTTACATTTCCGCCAAATACTCATGGAAAATTGCATGGGGCCAAGGAAGAGACGACGAAAGGGGGCAGGGTCCATCGCCGAGGATGACCAGAGAAGAGAGCAAGGTGAGTCGGAGTCAATTGTAAGGAACTCATCTCAGTCCAAAAGTTGGGAGGTAACCCTGGGTGGACCATTGACGGAATAAAACGGAGGTGAGAAGCATAATAATAGGTCACGATATCCGGTAGTGCCCTAGGCCCTCCTCTTAGAGTGCAAAGACAGTAGACACTGCGAGCAAATTCTATGCCGGCTTATTATGCCAGATAAAGTGTAGTAAGGGATTTCTGGAGGGAATGTAATTTGGACATTCGGGAACAGTAAACAGATAGAGTCGCAAATAAATATAAAAGCTTGGGTAGGTACAGTCATCTTTATGATGTTGATACGTCCCCAAGAATGATAAAGTCTAGAGTATCCCAAAACTTTAGGGAAGGGAAATAGCTATTGAATAGTGGGGGGGGGAAATTGGCATCATAAATAGAACTGTAGGAAGAGGTAAGATTAATACCCAAATATTTTAAGAAATGGGTGCACCATCGATATGGAAAAGAGACTCTTGGAGGGATGAGAGGACAACCGGTGAATGTGGAGAGGGGATACTAGCGCTTCAGTCTTGGATGTGTTAACTTGTAACCTGAAAGAGTCCCGAAGAATTGTTGTAAAAGTTTATGTAATTTCTAGGAGGGAGATTTGGGGGTTTTGAGAGAGTGAGGAGAATTATCATCCGCAAATAGGGATAGTTTGTATTCCACGGCCATGAGACGATATCCCTTTTATATCGGGATGGGGCCCAGATTGCAATAGCCAATTGGCTTCTGATAACAGAGGATAGGATAAATAATAGGGGAGAGAGTGGGCATCCCTGCCGTGTACCATTCGACATCTGGAAAGGAGGTGAAGGAGAGGAGGCTAGTCTGACCTGTGAGGAAGGGTGAGAGATTAGAGAGCTTTTAAAGCTGCCACGAAAGGGCCACGGAAGCCAAATTTCTCCAAGACCATAAACAGTTATAAGGCCAGCTGAGGCGGTCAAAGCTTTTTTGGGCATATTAAGCTCAATAAAATAGTGGGGGATGGAGGACTGGTTAACCAAGTCAACCAGTTCAATAGATCTTCTGGTATTATCCGCTGCATGTCTGGCAGGAACAAAGCCAACCTGGTCTCTGTGTATGAGCTTGGAGATGAACTAGAGAAACCGATTGGTTTTGAGGATCTTAGTAAAAATCTTGTAATCAGAGTTTAATAGAGCAATAAGATGGTAGTTATCCAAGATGGAATGGTCCTTGCCAGGTTTGGAAATCACAGAGATATTATGCTCGGGAAAAATCGGCTTGGGAGAACAATACCTCTGAAAAAATGCATCGTGATAAAGAGAAAGAAGATGGGGGAGCTAGGATACCAATGAAGGTCTTGTAATAGGAGTAAGGGAGCCCGTCTGGTCCCGGGGGCTTTGCGTGAGGGGAGATGTTTGACTGTATCAAATAGTTCTTCAGGTTGTATATGTCTGCGTTAGAGCCGCAATGTCAGAAGACGATAGCTTTGGTATTAGTAGGGGATTGAAAAACCTATCAAAAGAAGTTTCTGTAAGAGGGAGGTGGAGGTCTGAGGTCAAACAGTTGTAAAGGGACTCATAAATATGAGCAGAATAAAAAAGGGAGACCATCACACAAGGATCGTAAGATAGGGCTCCCATTCGGCTGGACAAGATGGTCCGGCAATGTAGAAGGGGGACTGTGCTTTAAGTCTATTGACAAGCATACGGTGGGGTTTGTTAGTTAAAAATTCGTAGAATTTCTGCCTAACCCAGCAGGAGAGATTTTGTGGACTTACAAGCATCAAGGGTTTCGATTTGGTCACGTAGGGATGGTCACTTTATACAGCCGAGGAATGGACGGCTTTGCGAGAAGTCTACTGTTTAGCCAGGGTAACTGGCGAAACTAGGGTAATCCTGGCATGCTCTGAGGTGTTCTTCAGACTGGATCTTTGGAACCCACGGAGATACAAAGGCCTCGAAATACCGCCTTGTGGGGGTTCCCATATCATGGTCGTGGTAGATGGAACAGAGCCTACATGGTGGGGTTGTGTTGAAAAATACAGTCCTGTTATTGGATGTGAGAGCTCAGACAGAGATGTTCTGTGGTCAAAAAGGACTCATTGAGACGCCAATGGCTGATTTTGGCATAACATTGTGGGAATAATAAATTTAACGATCAGGGAGGCGTAGTCAGACCATGTAATAGGACCTTGATGTCAGAAGAAACTAGGAGTCCAGAAGATGAGAGTGATCGGAAATGAAAACAATGATCTAAGCGGGAGTAGCAGGTGAAAACTGTTGAGTGGGTAGGATGTCGAATCCGCCCAGGCATCAAAGAGACGATACTCCTGATCAATTTACCGAAAGGATTTCGAGGAGGAGCATTGCCGCTTCGAAGGAGCGGACTCTCGATAAGAGGATCCTTCCTATCCTTATGCGGTGAAAGGAATTAAATCATTAAAGTCACCCCCTATAATCATGTGGTGGAGAGGAAAAGGAGCGATGGGGCAGGGCGAGAGTGGGTGTGTAAGGAAGATGTAATTGACCTGAATTCGACAGCATAGAGATTCAGCAAAATAAGGGGAGTCTCTCACCATAGATCTTACATTCTAGGAGAATGAAGCGACCATGATTGATCGACCTTGGAGGAGAAGACCCGAAGGGAGCAAATGTGTCGGATCAGTATTGCCACTCCAGCTTACCAGATGGGTCAAAGGCCAAATAGGATTGAGAAAAAAACCTTGTGGCAAAATGAAAGGAACCTGCTGACTTAAAACAGGTTCTCCTGGACAAAATAATATCTGCTCCTGAGGATCGGAATTCCTTCAAAGCCATCCCATCCGCTATTCTGAACAGAGTATTTAAGACCTTTTGACATTATATGACTAGAAGTCATAAAGCCATCACAAAGCATTAATAACAATGAGGTATGACATATGTAACAAGCAAGAAAAGATAAAGGATGGATACCAATCGATTGAGACAAAACAGAAAACTAATAATAGTGACAACACCAAAAACATTGCAATAAAAAACATAGATACCCGTAAGGATATGGACTTAGGGAGGAAACAATCAATACCCCAAGTTGTTCCAGACAATTGTCTGGTTACTTTAGTAGTGTCGGGATCGGGGGACAACAGGACAACCGGAACATATCAGTTTGGCAAATCGGCCCAGTGAAAATAATAACATATGGGGGACCCAGCACAGGAAAAAAAGGATAAGGAAGGGAAGGGGGGGGTAAGAGATACAACCTCAAGTGCCACAGAGGAAACACCGCAGAGAGAAGCATCAAGCAGGTCCACAATTGCTGGAACGAGAAGGACGAGGATGTTGCGGAGTACGTGAAGGATGCTTCCGGCCCCTACGGAACTCGGTGTCCAAAATCTTGTCGGGGGTAGCGGAAGGACGAGATGGAGAAGGCGATTAATGAGGAATTGTCTCTTAGAGAAACTTGGGAATTATCTTTGGAGACGGAGGATCTAAGGGGAACCAACCTGACGGAGGGAAACCCAGTTGACCTAGGGGACACGGAGGTGCTGGAGGATCGTGAGATGCGTGGTGAGTGGCTTCAGTGCTCGCCGTTTAGCCAGGGATAAGCGGAGAGAGATCACAGAAGAGCTGAAGCCTGTCCCCCTTTAAATTCCAGGGACGGGATGTTGCGTACAGAAGCTAACAAGCTTCCTTGCTCTCAAAAAAGTGAAAGCGGACGATGACCGATCCCGTGGTCCTGGTGGCCGCCAGGCAGGTACGGTGGGCCCTGTCTATGCGCCCAATCAGCTTCTGGGACCAATGGGGGGGCAGTTGCGGTGAAGAAGGACAGGAGATGCCGGCGGAGTTGGGAATCGGCCAATAGAATTCAGACATACCATACGAATGCGGCGTTTTGCCGGCGTTCCCTATATTTCCAGGTCCTCATTTGTTGGAGCTGAATTTGGGACATGGTGTACTTCAGATATACGCTATTATCTTCTTCTAAGACAGAGCGGTTCTCAACCTGAGGGGGTCGCGACCCCTTTAGGGGGTCGAACGACACTATTTCCCAGGGGTTCGCCTAAGACCATCGGAAAACACATATTTCCGATGGCCTTAGGAACCGAGACACCGCTCCTCTATCCGACTCCAGGTGTGGGCGGGATTGACATGCCAGTCCCTGTATCATCTGGACACACCCCCCGGGATCAATCCTCGTCGTGTGATTGGCCGCCGGAACTGTAGCTCAGGAGATGCACACAGGCGGCCAATCACCGGCGAGGAGGTGGAGCTTGGGAAAGGAGGGCGCCAGAGGCGGCACCGCGAAGATCGAGCGAGTGAAGAGGAGGAGAGCGGCCGGAGAAGGAAGGACATCTGACCGGTAAGTGTCTGTACCATGGGAGAGGGAGGGAGCGAGCGAGCCCAGGCTAGGAGCAGGGGTCAGCAAGGTAAGTATCAATTGGTGTCAGTTGGAGGAATAGTGCCCAATCAATTGGTGTCCACTAAATACCAATGATGGGGCACTATTCCTCCTCCCACTGACACCAACGATGGGGCACTATTCCTCCCCCCACAGATGGGGCCACACTGACACCACGATGGGACACACACTATTCCTCCCCACTGACACCAACGATAGTGGGGCACTATTCCCTCCCACTGACACCAACGATGGGGGCACTATTTCCCCCCACTGACTTTTCCTCCACCAACGATGGGGGGCACTATTCCTCCCACTGACACCAATGATGGGGCACTATTTCCTCCCACTGACACCAATGATGGGGCACTATTCCTACCCACCGACACCTATGATGGGGCACTATTCCTCCTGATCCACCGACACTTTTCTCCCAACGATGGGGCACTATTCCTTCCCCCACTGACACCAACGATGGGGCACTATTCCTCCCCCCACTGACACCAACGATGGGGCACTATTCCTCCCTGATTCTCCACAACGATGGGGGGACATTCCTCCCACTGAACACAACGATATGGGGCACTATTCCTGCCACTGACACCAAACGATGGGACACTATTCCTCCCCCCTGACACCAACGATGGGGAGCACTATTCCTCCCCCTAGACTGACCCAACGATGGGGCACTATTCCTCCACTGACACCAACGATGGGGCACTATTCCCTCTGTCACAACGATGGGCACTATTCCCCACTGTCAACCAACGATGGGGCACTATTCACTCCACCACCAACGATGGGGCACTATTCCTCCCACTGACACCAACGATGGGGCACTATACTTCCCACTGACACACGAACATCGATGGGGCACTATTGCTCCCCTGATACCAACGATGGGGCACTATACTTCCCACTGACACCAACAATGGGGCATCTATTTGCTCCCACCCTGACACCAACGATGGGGCACTATTCCTCCCACTGACACCAATGATGGGGGCACTATTCCTCCCAACTGACACCCAATGATGGGGCACTATTCCTGGGGCACCCCCACTGACACCAATGATGGGGGCACTATTCCTCCCACTCCACTGACACCAATTGATGGGGCACTATTCCCCCCACTGACACCAATGATGGGGCACTATTCCCCCACCACTGACACCAATGATGGGGGCACTATTCCCCCCCACTGACACCAATGATGGGGCACTATTTGATGGGGCACTTTTCCGCCCCCTGACACCAATGATGGGGCACTATTCCTACCACTGACACCAATGATGGGGCACTATTCCTACCACTGATACCAATGATGGGGCACTATTCCCATTGACATCAGTGATGGGACACTATTCCTCCCACTGACACCAATGACGTGGCACTAATCCTCCCACTGCAAAATTACAGTTATGAAGTAGCAACGAAAATAATTTTATGGTTGGGGGTCACCACAACATGAGGAACTGTATTAAGGGGTCGCGGCATTAGAAAGGTTGAGAACCACTGTTCTAAGACATGGACGTACTGCACCAATTCATCAAATTTATTCTCCAATTGATCCGCACGTTCCCCAATTTGCGCTATTTCTCCCCGAAGATCCAAAGCCAACTTGCTCACTTCAGCGGATATAGTGACGGTAATATTGCGTAAAAAAGCCTGCAATTTTTCCTCCAGCACAGATATCGTGAGAGTATTATTAGGCAGCACAGGAGGGTTGGCAGAAGCAGGTGGTGGAGGGCTCAGCGGAGAGTGCACCACCGCCCCCCCCCCCCTACAGGGGTCAGGGGCTCGGATTCCTTCATCTGGGGACACAGAGTGTGAGGAGGTTGGCTGTGTTGCAGAGGCAGCTGCTGCAGTACCTCCGGCCGCCAATAGGGGTCCGCCGGAGCTCAGCTGCGGGATCGCGGCCGAAATTGAGGCCGGGGATTGCAGGCCTATGGAGGAACCTCTGCAGCGGTGACGGCCGCGGCTCATGTGGCGGCGGGGAAGGGGGCTTCCAGCGCCCGATCTTCCCCTTGAGGAGGCTTGGGTCTGGGAGCTGGGTGCCCCACTGATATGACTCACCCAGGGACGACTGTGGAGCAGCAAAGCGCTGTGGGTGAGTCTCTAGGGCCGGGAGAGGAGCGGAGCTCAGGAAGATGCGGCAATCAGGGTTCCCGGTCACGCATGCGCCCGTCACGTTACATTTTAACATAGGACCCCTTATTTGATAGCAACTTCACAAGTCTTGCATCCATTGAACGTGTGAGTTTTTGGACAGTTTCTGCTTGAATTTGTTTGCAAGATATCAGAATAGCCTCCCAGAGCTGCTGTTTGGATGTAAACTGCCTCCCACCCTCATAGATCTTTTGCTTGAGGATGCTCCAGAGGTTCTCAATAGGATTGAGGTCAGGGGAGGATGGAGGCCACACCATGACTTTCTCTCCTTTTATCCCCATAGCAGCCATTGATGCAGAGGTATTCTTTGCAGCATGAGATGGTGCATTGTCATGCATGAAGATTATTTTCTTACAGAAAGCATAGTTCTTCCTTCTATACCAGGGAAGAAAGTGGTCAGTCAAACTCCACATATACTTTGCAGAGGTCATCTTTACACCTTCGGGGACCCTTAAGGGGCCGACCAGCTCTGTTCCCATGATTCTGACCCAAAACATGACTCCACCACCGCCTTGCTGACGTCGCAGCCTTGTTGGAATAGAGTGGCCATCCACTACTCCATCCATCTGACCATCCAGGGTTGCACGGCACTCATGAGTGATCAGGACTGTTTGAAAATTAGTCTTCATGGATTTTTCTGCCCAATGCAGCCGTTTCTGCTTGTGAGCATTGGTTAGTGGTGGCCGAATAGAAGGTTTATGCACAGTTGCAAGACTCTGGAGGACTCTACACCTTGATGTCCGTGGGACTCCAGAGGCACCAGCAGCTTCAAATATCTGTTTGCTGCTATGTAATGGTATTTTAGCAGCTGCTCCCTTGATCCGATGCATGGATCTGGCAGAAATCTTCCTCAATGTGCCTTTATCTGCACGAACCCGTCTGTGCTCTGAATCAGCCACAAATCTCTTAATAGTGCGATGATCACGCTTATGCTTTCGTGAAATATCTAATGTTTTCATACCTCGTCCAAGGCATTGAACTATTTCACTCTTTTCGGCAGCAGAGAGATCCTTTTTCTTCCCCATATTGCTTGAAAATGGTGCTCTGCTTAATAACGTGGAACACCGTCCTTTAGTAGTTTTTCCTTGAATTGGGCTCACCTGCCAATCTAATTATCACAGGTGTCCGAGATTGTTTTTCACTGATCAAAAGTGCCCTGACACACAATGCCATCCATGAGTTAAACTGAAAAACAAAATATTTCATCTTTGTGACACTTAAATAGAATTTGCATAATAATTTGGAACAGGGTGTAAACAGCACCATTTCTAAATTGGGAAAGCATCTGATCACACCGATCTTGGTGAGATTAGATAATGTAAGGGCAGAGGAGATATCTAGAGTCTGATAGAGAACAGATTTCTGAAAAAAGAATATATGAAAATGCCCATTGAAGTTATAGAGGATATTTGCATTCCCTGTGATAGCATTAAAAGTGATAAAAAAAAAAAAAAAAGGGACAGTAAAAACATATTTTTTTTTTAAAAAAGCACCCTCAGCCCCCCCGCATGTGCGATCGTTGACCCTGTGCCGGTATATAAACAGCGGTTGCACCATGCATGTGAAGTATCGCTGCGAACGTCAGATCAAGGGCAGTGATTCTAGCACTAGACCTCCTCTGTAAATCTAAAATGGTAGCTTGTAAATGCTTTTAAAGCATTGCCTATGGATATTAAAAATGTATGCAGTTTGTCGCCATTGCACGGGGCATGCGCAGTTTTAAAGCATGTCATGTTTGGTATCTATTTACTCGGCATACCATCATCTTTTTTATTTTACCAAATAATTGGCCAATATTTTGTGTTGTTGTGCATTAAAAGTAAAAAGTTAAAACATAAAAAGTTGCAGCACCCACCATTTTATTCACTAGGGTGAATATGTTAATATAGATATATAATGTTTGGGGGTTCAAAGTAATTTCCTAGCAAAAAATACAGATTTTTTTTTCATGGGAACTAAGTGTCAGAAAAGGTTTGGTTTTCAGGTGGTTAGAAGAGTGAATGATGTGTGGCATAAACCTCTAATGCTGGGCATAAAATGCCCCCCCCCCAAATGACACCTTTTTGGAAAGTAGACACCCCAAACTATTTGTTGAGAGGCATGTTTTGTCAATAGAAGAATTTATTTTTTTACCACAAGTTTTTGGAAAATGACAAAAAAAACCAAACTTATTTTTACACAAAATTGTCATTTAAATGATTTATTGCTCACACATGCCATGGGTATATGTGGAATTACTCCCAAAACTACATTCTGCTACTTCTCCCGAGTACGGGGGTACCACATGTGAGAGGCTTTTTGGCAGTCTAGCCAAGTACAGAATCCCAAAATCCAATAAACACCTTCAGGCTTTTAAAGGACTTTATTTCCTCATTACACTTCCTGACTACCTATCACAGTTTCGGAGGCCCTGAAAAGCCAGGATAGGGCACCCCCCCAAATGAACCCTTTTTGGAAAGTAGACACCCTAAAGAATTTGATAAGAAGCATGGCATTTTGCAGATCTTGTTTGTTGCCACAAATTTTTGGAAAATGAAGAAAACAAAAACATTTTCCTTTTTTTTTTTTTATATTTCAAAACCTTATGAGAAAAAATTAGATCTGAAAAATACTTACCATGCCTCTTTTTAAATTCCTTGGGGCGTCTACTTTCCAAAAAGGGGTCATTTGTGTGTGTGGGGGGGGGGGGGGGGAGCGCTATCCTGGCATTTCAGGGCCTCCAAAACTGTGATAGGTAGTGAGGAAGTGAAATGAAGAAGTTCAAAGTGGTCATTGGATTTCAGGCTCCCAAAAAGTCTCACATGTGGCATCACCATACGAACTAGAAGTAGCAGAATGTATTTTGGGTATAATTCCACATCTACCCATGGCTTGTATGAGAAACATATAATTTAAATGACAACTTTGTGTAAAATAAAAATGTTTTTGTCATTTTCCAAAAACTTATGGAAAAAAATAAATCTTCCATGGACTCAATATGCCTCTCAGCAGATAACGTAGGGTGTCTACTTTCCGAAAAGGGGTCATTTGGGGGTATTTGCACTGTCCTGGTATTTTAGCACCTCAAGAAATGTGATGAGCAGTCAGAGTAAAAGCTGTGTAAATTCCATTATCTATACCACAGTTTGTAGATGCTATAACTTTCACACAAAGCAATCAATATACACTTATTGGGATTTTTTTTAACCAAAAACATGTAGCAGAATACATTTTGGCCTAAGTTTATGACGAAATTTTAGTTTTTTGGATATTTTTTATGACAGAAATGAGAAAATATCGTTTTTGTTCAAAACCTTTTTTTTTTTTAAATGTTTTTTTGTTTATAGCGCCAAAAATAAAAAGTGCACAGGTGATCAAATACCACCAAAAGAAAGCTTTATTTGTGTGAAAAAGGACATAAATTTCACTTATGTACTGTATTGCGTGACCGCGCAATTGTCAGTTAAACTAGTGCAGCGCTATATAAAAAAAAATGGCATAAATTGCAGTATCTATACCATAGTTTGTAGACGCTATAACTTTCACACAAAACAATCAATATACATGTACTGGGATTTTTTTTTTACCAAAAACATAGCAGAATACATTTTGGCCTAAATTACTAACTTTGAGTTACTATATATATTTTTTATAGCCGAAAGTAAAAAATATTGTTTTTCTTCAAAATGTTTGGTCTTTTTTTGTTTATAGCGCAAAAAATAAAAACTGCACAGGTGGTCAAATACCACCAAAAAAAAGCTCTATTTGTGTGAAAAAAGGGACATACATTTCTTTTGGGTACAGCATTGCATGACCGCGCAATAGAGAGCTATCATGTGAGTGTGCCTCTGCCTCCCCTTACAGTGCAGCATACAGCAGGAAGAAAGGTACAGTACTGCTGATTTTAAAAGGCTGTATGTGTTTAACACAAGAACAATTTCCAAAATATTGACAAAACAGAGTTTTATAGAACATTTGTTTAGCTCATTACATGAAAGTAAGGTTAATAATACAACTTA